AAATCCAAATAGATCATGTCCACTGTCTCTCCTTTGTTGAACTTGCTCATTAGATTATTACAAAGTAATCGATTACAGTTCACTTGCATAAATTAAAGGATAATTATAATGATCAATTTTCTATAAACATAACTCATAACAAAAAAACCAGTGTGTTCTGTGGCTACATGCATAGAGCGTTACAAAAGTTATGCAACGACCAACACTGAAGAATGTTTCACAACACTCACTTTATGTAATTGGCCACGCATTTCAAGACACAAAAGATTAAAGGAGAAAGATCCAGTAAGAAGTGGGCGAGTGTAAAAAAGCAGCACTGGAAACTGAACTCTCATTCAATTTCCCCCACCCCACGCTGTTAACGCTTGTAAATTTCTTGCCACTGCAGTCTGGACACACCGCCCACAAAACACTAACCAGCCAAGTCATAAAACTTCTCGGTTTGCAGAATGCTCGCTGCAGCCCAGAGAACCCACTGAATGGTCAAATCGATCATCGCACATTTCACCAGGATTGAACCCATCGCTGAGCGGTACAAAACTGAAAGCTCAGGCTGTGTCAGGCAGCTGTCACTCACAGAGCGGAAGTGCTGCTCCAGCCCTTCGTGTCCTGGGAAAGGGGGTTGTGTTTTTCCTGTATGGTCGAACAGATTGATACTATATGTATTGTAGTATACTAGAATACACAGAAGAAAATAACGCCCGTTGAGTTTAGACGTTATAGTCTTCCCTGCAGAATTATAGGACAATTTCTTGTCTGCAATTGTAGGAAGGTAACCGATTCACGCAGCTCTGTAAAAGATATTTTAACACCGCAACCCGATTTCATAAACGAAAAGAAAAAAAATGCATAATACTGCGTTTCACTCCTTGCTTGGAGGGGAGGCAGCTGAAAATTTGGGAAGCATCCAAAATGGTCACAGCACAGACAAAGCTTATTCGGCCCATCAAGCCTGTGCTCGCTCGCTGATGAAGGAGCAATTTGCCCAGTGCCTCGCCCCTGCCTTTTCGCTGTACTCCTACATTTGTTTATCCTTTTTTCAAATAATGATCCCATTTGTTTTTGAAATCCTCCATTGTCCCTGCCTCCACCACACTGCACGAAAAAGATTTTCATCCTGCTTAAATAACTCCAGAGGCCAGGATCCTGTCACTAAGTCACCTTTTATTTACACCTGCATAGTAACTGACACTAATCCAACTCTCTGAGTGAACACACCCTCTGACGCCCCTATTTATATCTGTCAGCCAGGGCCCCCTGATTGGACCAGATTAACAGCCCCAATCAGGGAACTCATATTCTATATAAAAACCAAAAGAACTGCGGATGCTGTAAATCAGGAACAAAAACAAAGTTGCTGGAAAAGCTCAGCAGGTCTGACAGCATGTGAAGGAAAAAACAGAGTTAACGTTTCGGGTCTGGTGACCCTTCATCATATTCTATGCTATCCACCTGGCTGACCTCATTACAATCACTGCAGTCACCGTTGCTTTTTTTGCCAATTACCGTAAATCTGTGTCCCTCTGGTTCTCAATCCTTCCAACAATGTGTACAGTATCCACTTCCTATCAGTGAGGTAGCCTATCTATATGTCTCAGGAAGAGAATTATAGCTTGCAAATGTGCAAAAAGTCAACCTCATCAGCTAAGTTAAAAAAAATTAAAGTGAAGACAGGAGTGACACTTCACTGGGATTGAGTGTCTGTAAAGGATATTGCTGTGTAAAAGGATTGAGTCGTTCTTTATGCTTTTTATACATGATTTTTCCAAATTGTCACACATATATTTAGGTTTTTTTTCCTTACTTTTGTGTAATAAACTTATGTTTGTTCGATAAAAGTATATTGACAATCACTCATTAGTATGTTCAGTGACTGACCACCACAGGAACAGAATTGCAAAAAGTAAAACTAATGGTCTATCAAGCCAGGTTTCAGTCTTGGATCTGACTTGCCCAGTATTACCATCAGCTGGGATCATAACGGGTTAACAAAGGATTAACTTAATGGATTTTTTAAAAGTTGTAGCCACAGTCTTATGAATTCCCATAAAGAAATATTTAAATATAGAAGTCAATATTTTTTGATCAGTGATATTTTGAATGGGTTTTTGCTGCAGTTAGCTTTTTTTCAATTTAGAATTCTACTTTTCAACTGAATAGATTTTGTGAAGGTGAAATATGCTAGGAAATGGAACCCCTTAACCACTCTGTGTCAGCATAAAATTACATTGCATTTATTACATTCCAATTACATTACTTCTCGCTGCCTCAGGAAAGTGGCCAACATAATCAAAGACCCCTCCCACCCCATTTATAACCTCTTCCAACCTCTTCCATCAGGCCGAAGATACAAAGGTTTAAACACACATACCAACAGATTCACAAATAGCTTCTTTCCTGCTGTTATTAGCCTTCTGAATGGACCTCTCGAATTTTAAATTTAATGTTGATCTCACTCTCTCTGCACCTTCTCTGCAGCCATAACATTGTATTCCTCGCTCTGTTCTAGTACCCTAATGCACTTTGCATGGTGTGATCTGCTTGTACTGTATGCAAAACAAAACATTTCACTGTACCTAGGTATATATGACAATAATAAATCAAATCATTACATAAGCTTACATTTACATAGCACTTTTCTCATCCTCAGGGTTTATAGCCAATAAAGTACTTTCGAAGTGTGGTCATTGCTTTAAGGTAGGGAACGCAACAATCAGTTTATGAGAAGCTCCAAAAAACAGCAATGAGATAAATGTCCTGATAATCTGTTTTTAACAGTATTGTTTGAAGGATAAATATTGGCCAGGGCACCAAAAAGAACTCCTGGCTGTTATTCAAAAATTGTTATGGAATCTTATACATCCACCCAAGATGTCAGGTAGGGCCTTAATTTAGAGTCTCGTCTGAAATACCACGCCTCTGACTGTGCACCAAAGTGAATTGTCAGCCTAGATTATGGGCTCAACTCTCTGGATAGGACTGTAAACTCACTACCTTCTGACAGAGAGAAGAAAGTGCAATCAACTGAGCCTCAACTGACACTAACTGTTACTTAAGAGCTGAATAAATATTTTTGGAAAGGTCTTTTTTTTGTGTTTTAAGGTGGCATGGGAGAGCGGTGACACTATACAACACTTTCCACTGTATTTTGTAACAAAATACACATGTCAATAAATAAATCAAATCAAATCAAATAAAGGTCATTGTACTGCATACATACAGAGGGAATTTAATGCTTGGTGGTGCCAGAGTTTTTAGATGTAGAGTATCTTGCAATTAACCCAGGAATGATGACCTCCCAGAAATTAGTATATAAGTTCAAATGCTTAAATAACATCTCGCTGAATTGGTAATTTGTACAGTTGCTCCAAATTTTTCAACTTCAAGGATAAAAGAAATCAGAAACCTGCCTGACCCACATCTGACACTGCAGAATAAATAATTAACAAACACAGAGAATTCTGGAGAAACTCAGCAGGTCCAGCAGTATCTGTGCAAAGAGAAAAAGGTTTACATTTGGAGTCTGACACGACCCTTCTTCAGAATTGAATAGAGGTGGAAAATGGTGGTTTTCATACTTTGGACAGAGGCAAAAAAGTGGCAAAGGAGACAGATGGTGTGGAAGCCTGGTGCCAAAGACAAGGATTTGGGGTAAAAGAGAAATAGAGATGTAAAATGGGTGTAAATTAAGAACAAAACAGAAGTTGCTGGAAAAACTCAGCAGGTCTGGCAGCATTTGTGAAGAAAAAGATCAGAATTAACGCTTCAGGTCCGGTGATCCTTACTCAGACCCTGAGGACCTGAAATGTTAACTCTGTTTTTTCCTTCACAGATGCTGCCAGACCTGCTGAGCTTTTCCAGCAACTTCTGTTTCTGTTCCTGATTTACAGCATCTGCAGTTCTTTCAATTTTTATTGGGTATAAATTAAGGTGGAGAAGGGTGAAAATGGGTCCTCTCAGCTGAGAGCAAAATAAACAAAACACAAACAAGTCCTTGAAGTTGAGGGGGGGGGGGGGGGGGGGGGTGGGGGGGTGGGAGGGAAGAGAGATAGAACAGAATGTCTGAAAAAGGGGAACAGATGCAATGGGCTCAGGGTCTGAATTTGTGGAATTCAATATTGGGTCCTAGAGACTATAAAGTGTCCAAGGAAAATAAGGTGTTGTCTCTCAAACTGGCATTGAGCTTCATTGGAACATTACGGAAGGCACATGATAAAAATGCTAGCTTGAGAGCAAGGTGATTTATTGAAATGGCAAATAACTGGGAGTCAGGGTCACTCCTATGGACAGAGCGGAAGTGTTCCACAAAGCAGTCACCCAGTCTGCATTTGGTAAAGGTGACTTCATTGTGAGCAGTGAATGCAGTAGACTAGATTGAAAGAAGTACAAATGAAACACTGCTTCACCTGAAAGGTGTGTTTGGGCCCTTGCACAGTGAGGTGGGAGGAGGTGAATGAGAAAGTGTTACAATTGCATGGGAAGATGCCATGAGGGAGTGAGGAAATATTAGGAGTGATGGAGTTATGGACTCGGGAGTCATGGAAGGAATAATCTCTGCGGAATGGTGACAGTGTAGGGGAGGGGAGACAACAAGGTGCAGAGCTGGATGAACACTGCAGGCCAAGCAGCATTAGAGGAGCAGAAAGGCTGACGTTTCGGGCCTAGACCCTTCATCAGAAATGGGGGAGAGGAAAGGGTTCTGAAATAAATAGGGAGAGAGGGGGAGGCGGATAGAAGATGGATAGCGGAGAAGATAGGTGGAGAGGAAACAGACAGGTCGAAGAGGCGGGGATGGAGCCAGTAAAGGTGAATGTAGGTAGGGAGTTAGGGAGGGGATAGGTCAGTCCAGGGAGGACGGACAGGTCAAGGGGGCGGGATGAGGTTAGTAGGTAGGAGATGGGGGTGCGGCTTGAGGTGGGAGGAGGGGATAGGTGGGAGGAAGAACAGGTTAGGGAGGCGGGGACGAGCTGGGTTGGTTTTGGGATGCGGTAGGGGGAGGGGAGATTTTGAAGCTTGTGAAATCCACATTGGGCTGCAGGGTTCCCAAGCGGAATATGAGTTGCTGTTCCTGCAACCTTCGGGTGGCATCGTTGTGGCACTGCAGGAGGCCCAGGATGGACATTTCGTCTGAGGAATGGGAGGGGGAGTTGAAATGGTTCGCGACTGGGAGGTGCAGTTGTTTATTGCGAACCGAGCGTAGGTGTTCTGCAAAGCGGTCCCCGAGCCTCCACTTGGTTTCCCCGATGTAGAGGAGGGGAGATGTGTCTGGGAGTGGCAGAAAATGGTGAAAGATGACCTTTGAATGCAGTGACTAGTGGAGTGGAAAGACCTACTGAGTTTCTCCAGCATTTTCTGTGTTTCTTTCAGAGTTCTGGCATTCATGGTATTTTATCCATGGCACCTTCCCCTGCAACCGCTGAAGGTGTAACACCTGCTCATTTTCCTCCTCCCTCCTCAGTATCCAAGGACCCAAAGCAGCACTTCACCTGCACTTCCCAGAATCTAGTCTACTGCATTCACTGCTCACAATGTGGTCTCCTCTACATTGGGGAAAAGCAGCGTAGACTGGGTGACCGCTTCACAGAACATCTACACTCTGCCTGCAAAAAAGACCTTGAGCTTCCAGTTGCCTGCCACTTTAATGCAGCACCCTGTTCCCTGGCTGACGTCTCTGTCTCAGGCTTGTTGCAGTGTTCCAGCGAAGCTTAGCACAAGCTGGAAGAACAACACCT